TCTCTCTCTCTCTCTCTCTCTCTCTCTCTCTCTCTCTCTCTCTCTCTCTCTCTTCTTTCTTCTCTCTCTTCTCTCTCTCTCTCTCTCTCTCTCTCTCTCTCTCTCTTTTTCTCACTTCGAACCTCTATGCTACAAGAAATATTGATCTAGTCTCTGAGAGTTCATCGCACAGCTCGATCTCTCCTGATCGAGCGACTCGCTAAACAAATTCTGGAAGAATTTCGCCTCGTTAAAATTTGTGGATTGACGCTCGACGCTCGACGTTCGTTCGATGATTAATCGAATAATCGTTCGCTGGTCAATTATTCCTCCGTTAATCCGTTTTCATGCCTCGTCCCTGCGTCTACGTTCGAAAAAGAAAAGAAAGAAAGAAGAAAAAAAAAGATAAGTGACAAGTGTCGGCCGCAAAATAGCAAATATCCCTTGTCTACCCTCGTTTCGTTCTATCCGAGGTACATGATTATCAAACAATTATGCTAATCGTATTTCGGATACAAGACCGTCAGTTTACACGGAGGAAAGCCCGGATCGCCTCGGCCGGGCCACTGACCCCTTCGCGGTTTGTACCAATTCATTTCGTCGGGATACAGCCACTTTGCATATTTGAACGCCCACCGGATCAACTCTAACTGTCATTCCGCGATTCCGATAATTCCACGCTTCCGTGGAGAAAATTTTTTCTTTTTTTTCTCGGTGTCTCAATGACAGCGTTGGTGTTGTTGATCGTGTTAAGAGTGCGAAGAAGAGATTGAAAGGATTTTAAATATTTTGGATCGACTCGTTTCCCCACGATGTCAACTTTCCCTTCGGTAACGCGACAATTCGATTTAAAAATTATGACGATCGAGAAGATTGTCTTGCTTTCGATTCGAATTCTTCGTTCGTTAAATCTAGAAATACGAATATATCGCGTTATCGAACAGTTAAAAATCGCGTCCCGAATTTGAATACCGTCTGTTCTGATTTCGAGGCCGAAAGCACACCGTGCACTCTTCACTCTTAACTCGTGTTGTGGCTTTTAACTTAGAAAAATTCGCACGAGTGGTTTCAACATTCGTCCGGATCGTCGGTCGCTTCTTCGCAAAATAAAAATCTTTATCCGGTAATAACAGGTTCGACGGGGCGTCGGTCCTCGCGACGCTTCGAAACCTTGTTTAAAACTATACGTAATATATTACTTACTGAGCTGTATCGTTCAGGAGGTTATGGAGGATCCTTCGCAGTTCTAACCGGAAGGAATCGTCTTTGGATCTTAACAGCTACTCTCCGTCCGTACGAACGCACTACGAAAAAATGTCTCTTTCTCGTCTCGTCTTTATTGCACTATTGTTATCCTGAACTAGTTCGACCGAAAAAACTGACCACCAAAACCGAAAAACTGGGAATCTCGGATCTCGATTTCTCGATCACCGATCAGAGCGATCAAACTCTCTCTCCTCTTTCTTTTCTCGCCTCTTCTCTCGATCACAAGAGAACGAACGCACGGTTCCTTCGTCCCTTCGTCAAACAACGATACGACAAATTTGATTCAGTCGATGATAAAGGCCAACGACTAAACCTCCCTCCTCTCCTCTCGTTCCCCATTTATTACCACTGGGAATTAATAGTCGAACGCGTAATAATCGTCCCTTTCCTCGTCCAGCGGAGGAAAGTCTCGGCCTCGTGCTTCTCGGCATGTTGTTCGATAACCGATAAAACGGTTTCCAACAACGGTGGTGGAATGGAAAACGATCGGTTCACCAGTCGTTTCACCGCGGGAACAGGGACGAGGGAACGTGTTTGTCGATCCGTCTGCCCGTCACCGGCCAGTTTCTCCAGTTTCTCGAAGGATCTAGTTGTTCTAGGGGAGAGTGGTAGTTTCGCTTCTCGTCACGCCCGCGGTGTTAAAAGCGTGGCCACGGCTCGGCCGTGATCGGGTTGATACTCTCTTCCTGGGTCGTACGTTAAACTTCAGACCATTTGCAATCCTTTGGTGATGCTCTCGACGTGCTCCTTGGCCCGCATTCTCAGAGCCTGGATGCTCGTGGTGCGCGGATCGTGACCAGGCGGACTCGGTGGCGCCGCTGCCACGTGCCCTCCGCTCCCTATGCTCGTCATTCCTGCGCTCAGCCCACCTGAAAAATTTTATTTATACATTTTTATATTTTTAATGGAGGGGGACGCAGTTTGCGTAATCTAACGAGCAACGATTCGAGCGTTAAGAGTTGAAATGAGATAGTTATTCGATAATTTGGAGTTAATTTTAAATCGAATTCGAACGAATCTCACCTGGTACTGCGCTTCCAACAGCCCCAACATTGGGCGGCGACGGCAATCGTCTGGGGGACGTTAGATAACTGGGATAACCCGTGTGAGGTGCAGCGAGAAAGCCGGGAAGAGCGCTTAACAGACCCGGTGGAGTGAGCCAAGGATCTCCCGGCAAACCCAAAGCCGGCCCAGCCACGTTTCTGCGAATGAAAATCATATCGCATCGATCGATGCAATTATCCTTGCACAGCAGACGGACAATTCATCTTTTATCGTACGTTAGATTATGTTATTCGAGTATGGTTACCTCATGTTGCCGGGATGATGATACTCGCTCAGGCCGAGTCTCGCTGCTTCCATCTTCTCCTGTCTGCGCCATTTTGCCCGCCTATTCTGAAACCACACCTGAAACACAAAACGGTAGGAACATGGGTTATCGGCGACGCGTATTTTGCATAACGATAATTCAACTTCCCCCCTAATTCCCCCGTGGAAGCTTCAAAAAGCTTCGATCACGAACGTCGCTGCGGGATGAGAGCGTGGTTACATTCCTCGTTCATGCGTTCGTTTTCAACCACGAAAATCATGCATTTTGAATCGTTTAACGAATCCACTATTGGAAACGAAAAACGGGCTACGTAACGGGAATATACACGTTTTATGGTAAAGAAGTCGATGGTTCGAAAAATTCTTGCCAACCTCGTGAAGAAATCGAAAGCGGTAGAAGCTTTGCCGAAAGACAAGGGAAAGACAGGGGCCGAGCAAGGGTCGTAAGAAAATGGAGTTCCTTTGGCGATACTCGCGATACCGTGCAGGCGAGAAAAGTGGCTGGCAAAGCCCTCTTATCCCTTTCCTTCCTCCCTTTCTCCAATTCCCATTCTCCTCTCCCCTGCAAAACTCCCTCTCCTCGTCTTACTTCTAATCTTCTCTCTCTCTCTCTCTGTCTCTCCCTGCCTCGTTCATCCTCTCTCGAACCCATAGCGTTCACCTCGTTCGTTCGTTCGTTCGAGGTTGGCCGTGTTGCTGGCTCCCTCGGCGACGAGAAAGGGGGGTTGCGGAGAGAAATGTCTCTGGGCGGGGCGGTCCACCCCTGGAGGCAGCACGGGCCAAGAAAAGGAGGTAAGAAGGGATCTCGTAGGGTGAGGAGAGTCCGCGCGGGGACCACCCTTCCTCGACATCAAGAGGGTAACGAGGGTAACTGCGGGGCGAAATCGAAAGTGAGCGACGTGACGGTGCTCTCCCTCTCTCTCTCTCTCTCTCTCTCTCTCCTCTACGAG